CATTAAGGGTCAGCTCCCAACGTCCCAAAACATACAGGCCCCAGAAAGCAGTAAAGTTCAGGAGACCGACCATGAACCTCCCAACTGTAAAAACTAATGTCAGGAGGTCAACCTGGTGACACCCCCACTCCAGACAGGGCCGCAAGAGCTGAGAGGGTGGAGGCAGGAGCAGACGTGGAGTCAAGGGAGGAAGCGAGATGCGATGAGGAGCTGGCGGAGGTTGATGGAGCCAGAGCCTTGGCGAAGGCAAACACAGGCGACAGAGGGGACAAGGAGGCGACGGCAGCCGAACCAGGCGACATGGAGGCAACGGCAGCCGAACCAGGCGACGTGGAGGCGACGGCAGCCGAACCAGGCGACATGGAGGCAACGGCAGCCAAACCAGGCGACATGGAGGCGACGGCAGCCGAACCAGGCGACATGGAGGCAACGGCAGCCGAACCAGGATCCTCAGGAGCAGAGGACTCAGCAGGAGACCCAACAAGAGTTGGAGAGCCCATGAACCAGAACTGGAGGACCCGGAGGAACCAGAGCCGGAGCAGGAGGGCCCACAGGAACTATAGCAAGAGCTGGAGGGCCCACAGGAACCAAAGCTGGAGGACCCACAGGAACCAGAGCTAGAGGACCCACAGGAACCAGAGCTAGAGGACCAGCAGGAGCTGGAGCAGGAGGTCCAGCATCAGAGGGGTGGGGAAGGTAGGACTCAGAAACCCCCAGAGCTGCCAGTTCTGAAGGACACCCAGAAGAAAAGAGTCCCCTAAGGCCAGCTAGCTGACCCTGCATCCCCTCCAGGAGCCCCAGGATCTTTGAGAGAGGAGAAGCTGGCAGGGCACAAGTTGTGGGTGGGGAGGAGAAAAACTGCCTGCTGGGTTCAGTTGTTGGTCGGGTCATTCTTTTACGATTCTCAGGCAGGAATGAACCCATGATTCAGGCAGATTAAACGTTCCAAAAAACAAAGTATTTATTTAACCAAAAAGGTGCTGACTGGGCAGCTCAGAAAACTCTGAATGGCGTGGAAGACAGGACAAGGCACAATACAGAACATAACCAAACAATGACCCGACAGGGAAGTGAAGACAAGNTGTAATTAATTCAGAAAATCTTTTCAGGACTCCACCTTGATGTTTCGGGACCCCACTTTGGGTCCCGACCCCAACTTTGGGAAACACTGGCTTATGCAAATAAGGTGCTGTTGGCAACCCCTCCCAACCTTTTGTTTACATTAGCTCCACCCTCCAAACATGGCGTTTATGTCAGAAGTTGAGAAACTTAAAAATAAATGACAGTATGAGCAGATGCACAATGGTTTAACAGTAGCAGACAGGTTGCATGCAGTGCGGCCACCCCGGGCTCCGGTCTTTCCCTACCGAGCCCTGGGAATGTTCGCACTGCGCACCGTTGGATTGGTTGGTGACCCTACGCTGTGCGGCCACCCCAGGGGAGAACGACAGACTGGTGCCCAGAGAGGCAAACACGTGTCTGTCACCACTTCCCCAGGCCAGAGTAGTGGACGGGGGGAAGGTGGTCCATGCTCTAGTAGCAGCACAGACTGTCTTCACCACTTCCCCAGGCAGAGGGAGAAAGGCGAAGCGCGCCTCCTCTGTAGTTGATCCTGCAGCGCGGTCAATATTAGTTGGTGCTAAATAACAGATCAAGTTCATACTGAAGCAACAGCAACATCAAACTCACAGCACATCATTATAAACTACAAACAGCAGGTCAATCCTGCTGGTAGTAGTTTCCAAAGTAGTCCATGGTGAAATTATTCACAAAAACTACAACTTTCTTTGTTAATATTGCTAGAACATTGCCATCAAAAATATAAATAAATAAAAATAAAATTAAGCCATGCATCTCTGTTCTCCATGACTGTTGTAAAACAGCAGAACTGTCCTGTGAAGAAGTGGGTGGAGTCTCTGCTTGGGTTACCAGGTGAGGGGCTGGGCTTGCCTTGGCATTGCTAGGTCACTGGGATTGTGACGTCACTATCCCCAAGTTTTTGAAACAGCTTGTTTGCTGACACTAAAAATCTTGTTTAGGTGGATGTAACTTAAATGTTAGGGAAATATGATATATTGTGTGGTGTAGACACATTACATCATTAAGCCTTGCTGAGCTGTATTGTTTTTTAAAAGGGCTAAGCTGGCAACCTTAATGACATCATCCTGATTAGGTTAAGCTAACCGCTGCTAATGTTGCTGAAGATGGTTTTTAAAATCAAAATTCAAAATGTGTTAGTGGAAAATTTTAACTAGGATTTTACACTGATCTAAAGTGACAAACTGTATAGTGACATATTTTAACTTTTTATTTTACACTTGGTTCTACATCCTCCATAGAATTCTAGGATCCAGCCTCCTGCAAAACTGACAATTTTATGTAGAAGCATTTTAATCATATTTTTAAACAATGTGTTACGATTCTCAGGCAGGAAAGGACCCATGTTGCAGGCAGATTAAACGTTCCAATAAACAAAGTATTTATTTAACAAAAAAAGGTGCTGACTGGGCAGCTCAAAAAACTCTGAATGGCATGGCAAGACAGGACAAGGCACAATACAGAACATAACCAAACAATGACCCGACAGGGAAGTGAAGACAAGACACAATACAGAACATAACCAAACAATGACCCGACAGGGAAGTGAAGACAAGACACAGAATATAAAGCTGAGACTAATGAGCACAACCAGGGAACACCTGGGGGAGAAACATGAGGATCAGGTGTGAGTGGGCGGGGCTGGAGCAAAGGCAGACAGGAGGAAGAAAACAGAGGAACATGACAGAAAAATCAGAATTAAGTCAAAAATAAAAACATGAACCCAGACGAAACAAAACACATTGAGGTACTTATGATCTTTTTCTGAACCTTTGAGATAATTAACTATAATTTCCCTTCTTATATTTCTTTCTTTAGGTGCCCTGTTACTCCTATGGACAGAAGCTCTCCAAGCTGGCTATATTACGTATAGCCTGCAACTACATTCTGTCTTTGGCACAATTAGCTGAGCTCGACTACAGTTCAGATCGCAGCACTGTGAGCTTCTCTCAGTGTGTGGAACAGTGCACCCGGACCCTGCAGGCCGAGGGCAGGTGCAAAAAGAGAAAGGTGAGGATGAGATTTACAAATGGTAAATGGACTGAAATTATATAGCGCTTTATCAAGTCCCTCCAGACCCCAAAGCGCTTTACACTTACAGTCACACACACATTCACAAGCTCAGTCAAGCTGAGAATCCAGTCAAGCTCAGAAATTTCTGCAAAGATTAGAAGAATGTTATAGTTTTAGTATATACCACTGAAATAAGTTGAAAATGACAAGGGTAATGAAAAATTACTAGAAATCATTCATCAGTCATTGCTTTTAAATTCTGGTTTAAAGTGAATATTAAAAACAAACTTATGCTACTAGCCTTGACAAAAGGAGGCTAAACACTTAATATTTTATTGCCCAATATTTTGAGGCAATCACTGCATTCAAGGGATTTCTTTAACATTTGAGGAGATTGGCTGAAGTCTTGTAGACCTTTAATGTCTAAATGTGTGCAGCAGATGTCACAGGTACATGAAGCTGCTTCACGATGGTCTTATAGCCTTTACTTTTTATATGTTTATCAACAATTTATGTTTTGAGCTCCTAAGACAACTCTTTCCTCTCCATTTTCTGTGGTCTATTCTTAGGAATATATTTAGACATTACTGTGTTTTAATCAGCTGGAGAAAATAATTAACATGAAGTCTTCATTCTGTCCAAATGATGTTGCTCCAACTGATTTTTTTCAAGAAAGTTTTTAAAGTTGTTGGTTTTGACATTTTAGAGATTTTTAACAGCGGTCTCAGTTCAGGTGTTGTTCCAGCCTGTTTTAAACATGCAGATAAACCTGGACTCATCTGTCCTTTCAAATTTTAGACCCATCTCAAACTTCCTTTTTTATCAAACATTTTAGAAAATATAGTTTTTATTCAACTACAGTCCTTTTTAAGTACTCACAAAATTCTTGACTTATTTCAGTCTGGTTTTAAAGCACTTCACAGCACAGAAACTGCACTTTTAATGGTCTTTTAATTGCTACAGATTCTGGAGACTCTGCTGTTCTTTTGCTTTTAGACCTGACAGCAGCCTTTGATACAGTAGACCACAATATTTTATTCTCTAGGCTGGATCAATGTGGTACCAAAGGCGCTGCACTGGATTGGTTCAGGTCTTATCTGTCTGACAGGAGTTTTTCTGTAAACCTAGGAAATTCTGTTTCCTCCTCAGCCCCCCGTCACATGTGTGGTTCCCCAGGGTTCCATTCTTGGTCCCATTTTATTTTCTATGTACATGCTCCCCTTAGGCTCTATTTTTAGAAAATTTAACATTCTTTTTCATTCCTACGCAGATGACACCCAGATCTATTATCAATTAAAGCACAATAATTCTTCATTAAAACCACTCTTTGACTGTCTCACTGAGGTCAAAACTTGGACGGCTTCTAACTTTTCAAATTTTAACGACAACAAAACAGAAGTTATTATTTTTTGGACCCAGCATTAATCCCAGTGCTTCCCCTATAGATCTTGGTACCTTAGAGCCATCTATAAAACGTTATGTCAAAAATTTGGGGGTGCTCTTCGATTCAAATTTTAACTTTGAGAAACAGATTAGTTCTGTAGTAAAGAGATTGTTTTTTAAACTTAGACTTTTATCTAAAATCAAATGGTTTTTATCTTTCAAAGACCTTGAATGTGTGATCCATGCTTTTATTACATCTCATCTGGATTATTGTAACTCTCTGTATGTTGGTGTTAGCCAGGCTGGCCTCTCACGCCTGCAGCTGGTTCAGAACGCTGCAGCCTTTTAACATGGACCAAGAAGCGTGATCATATCTCCCCGGTGCTGGCTTCCCTTCATTGGCTCCCTGTGTGTTTTAGAATTGATTTTAAACGTTTACTGATGACCTATAAGGGTCTGAATGGACTGGCTCCTGAATACCTGTCTGACCTCCTGCAGCCCTATGTGCCCTCCAGATCTCTTAGATCCAGTGATCCTTTGCTCTTGGCTGTCCCACGGTCCAGACTGGTCCACAGAGGTGACCGAGCATTTTCAGTTGTGGCTCCTACGGAACAAGTTGCCCCTTCATGTTAGACAGGCTTCAACTCTTGGTGTTTTTAAGTCTCATCTTAAAACACACCTGTTTTCCAGAGCTTTTAATTCAGCATGAGAGTTGGCTATTTTCCACTTTTAAACTTTTTTTTTCCATGTTTATATTTTTTTATTGTTCTTAACTTTGTATTTTGTTTTTGTTTTTCTTGTAGTTGTAAAGTGAAGCACTTTGGCCAACGGCAGTTGTTTTTAAATGTCCTATATAGATAAAGTTGACTTGATTACATATACAGCGGGAAAAAAAAGTATTGAACACGTCAACATTTTTCTCAGTAAATATATTACTAGAGGTGCTAATGACATGAAATTTTCACCAGATGTTGGTAAC